GCTAGAGTCTAAGAAAGTTTAAGCTTTGTCAGCTGGGTTTCTATTCGTCACAATGTCTGTGTGTGAGTTTGTGCGCTGTGATGAGTGTCATTTCATTTACAAATAATAAAAGTTTGTGTTTTTGTTTCATAAATAATTGAAATGACAGAAACCGCTGAATCTTAATTCAACTTTATTTTTTATTTTTTTAAATATTTTTTTTACACTTTCACCTGATCTTGATGCCTTCAACAAGTTTAATCATTTCGGTTATCCTGATTAAAGTTAGAACAAGCTTCAAGATCAAGTTTGTTTTGGTTAATTGTGGTGTGATATTTTTTATCAATTTACTTCTTTACTGTTTTGTACATGTGTATTCATGAATTTAACCTTCTTTTACATGCGCATGTTCATGAAATTTTGCTTTTGTTTATATCTTTCATTTTTTCAGCTGTAGATTTTTCTTCCAGTTGTAAATTCTTCAAAATTAAATTCAATTTTTTTTATATGGTTTATATAAAAGTTATGTTCCATTTGTATATGTTATATACAAAAGGAAAGAATTGAAAAAACAATGGAAAACCAGAATCCCCTGAAGACTGGAAATTTTACCAAGAAACTTTGAAGTCAAGATAAGATAGATATTTAAAAGTTAAGTAATCTTTTCATATAATATTATTAATGCCTTATTTTTTTATATTATCTTAATATTGAGCACTATATATAAAAATATCTGCTGTTTTTTTAAATCATATATATATATATATATATATATATATATATATATATATATATATATAAAATTATCAAGGACAAAAATGTAAAATTTTCATTTTGGAACTTATACATAAAAAAATTATGTTATATTTTATAAAAACTTGTTCATTCTTCCTTTTTAATAAATTTGTGGAAGTTAAACAAGACTGCATAAAAATGAAACCCTCCATAGGTACAACAAAAAAAAATGTTGTGACTATAACAACCAAGATGAAGACAACAGATTAAATAAATCTGTGTATAATAATAATAATAATCTTGTAACTATTGTAAAATAAATACACTAATTGTATTTCCACTTAACATTGTCATTAATCTTCTAACATTCTACCCAAAGTGATATTGATTATAATTAATAAAGAAACATTATCAATAATTACAAGGAAACATTATAACTAATTATTTTTCTTATTAGAAAATACAAATCACATCAATAGGGAAAATGGGCAATCAATAACATCAAAGATGATTCCTGAATTTTTTATTCAATTTTTACATTTATTTTTTTAATGCCCTTTCTCTTCAGGATGTAAGCAATTATGGCTCTTCACAGATTCCTTTTCTTTATCATTGGTGAATTACCATGTATTCTTAGGAATGATCGTGGACCAGTTGCCACCCATAGCTAAAGATCCCAGATGGTGGAGAGCAGAGATGGATTTATACCTTTCTCAAGAGCATTAATGTGAAAGTTAATGTAACTGACTAGACTGGAATTTGAACTTGGTTTGCTGAGTTCATTTTTACACTGCTGTTCATTATACTACTCACTGACCGTTATTTAATATGTCTAAGTAAATCAAATGTCTGCAAGAGATCAAACAAATTTTACTTTATCATATTTCAATCTATAACTTCTAAATGTTAACTCAGTTGAAATTATCTTCTATGCATTTAACCATCACACTATGGTATTTACTTGATTCCCACAAAGTCAAGATGTGACACAAGGTCGTTTAACGTGGGAGACCCGAGTGTTTCCACTCAAAGGCCACTGGTCCAAAACTGGTCATAGCTTGTCCAAGCTGGTCAGAGCCTAGTCAAAGCTGGTCATGACTTGTCCTAGCAAGTCCCGGCTGGAGCCAGTCCAAGCTAGCCGAAGCCTTGATCGAATCTCAGCCATAGGCCAAGAAACGATCCAATATTTGTCAAAAACCCCAACGAAAAAAATTCGTCGGGAGAATATATATACACCACTATATGCAGATAAAAAATTTTCAAATATAATTTATATATCAAATCTTTACTTACTCTCTTCAAATATGGTATAAGAATTTCTTTTGCATCATCACAGAGGGAACAGTCTTCCTTGGTGTACATTGTCAGTGTGGGTTTAATGGCTGATGTCAAGTTCCTTGAGGAAATTCTAATAAATGCCTGCCAACATTTTGTCAAATGCAAAGCTGATTTGGTCATCATAAACATGCCTGCCTGGAAACTTTACCTGCAAATGTTATAAAGTAACTTCACATCAAAAAGGTCATTGTTGGATTATTTTAATATTATAAAAATGCATTGAATATTTGAAAATTAGTTTTACATCTGTTGCAGGTATTATGCTTTTTTTCTTTGTACAAGTATAGTTCGTGCATAAAATGCTTGTACCAGAAATGTATAATAAATGAGTTTTTTTTTTCAGGATTATGAAATATGTCTTGGTTGTGAGGGCTGCATTTTGGGAGACATTAACATTTTTCTACAGTGATAAAAAAAGGCCAAGTGCCATGACTAATGTCTGGAGAGAGAGAGAAAAGAGGAAGAAAGGGGTCCTTTTTATATGCTCTGGTGAGCAATTTTCATTGGTTTCACGATAGCTTAATGTATGGTCTATTTTTGGCCATGGAAATAAAGGTAACATGCAGATTTTAATATCTGCTAAAATCTATGTATCATAAAAAATAAATATGCACCTTTCTGGCCAGCAAAGCTTAGAACATGCTGAATGTATACTCTGCAATGGAGTAAGACCCCCACCAAAAAGGGCCACCTACCAGATGAGTGCTTGCAGATTCTGGTATAAAAAAACTAATGTTTACCTATAGACTCTAGTATAAATATGACTAATGGAAACCATTAATAAAGAAAGAAAGAAATGACATTGGGGAGAGTCAATTTTGACAGCAAGGCTACAGCAGCAAAAGTGGCAAAAACAGCATTAGGTTTAAGGGCCCAAGTTCAAGCTTCGAGACTGTCCCATGGAAAAAAGCCTGGAGGATTAAAATATTAATTTGTCAATTTAGTAATTGTGAGTTCAATCTCTGAAGTGGGTATTACAGATTCACACTCAGTGGAAACATGACTAAAAAAAGAACAAGATATCCTTAGAAAGCCAGAGGACACAACGAACTAGTAATAATTGAACAATACTAAAGATCAAGATGGGTTATTCATAGACACAGACAGTAGAATGTGAACAATCTACTCTCATAGATCAAATAAATTTAAAAAATAAATTTGGAAATTTCCTGAAGATTATCTGGATCAACGGGCACTTGAAGAAAGCCAGGGGACACAATGGGCAAAATGTAGTGATGAAGACAATAAAGATGAGGATATTAGTACTCAATGTTTACCTACAGACTCTAAACACAACTAATGTTTACCCATAGACTCAATAAAAAAAAATGATTTCAATATTACATAACCAAGCAAAGATTGACATGTAAAATCCAATAACAAAAAAACCTATACATTTGTAGAAAAGTAAATTTAAATAAAAAAAAATATGTATTCCACAAAGATAGCAAATATTTGATTGGGAAACCATGTGTAAGCTATTTAGTACAATCATGGGTAATTCGAAATGGTGTAATTATTTGCAAGCTTGTCTCGCTAGATCAATTACGAAGGAGTAGCGAGTTTACTGAGTGCTCTATACTTTCGGTCTTGTGTAAAAATCGCTATTTATCATAGATAATATTATTAAACGATTATTGTCATCAAAGTCAGTCTGTTCCAAACATTTTATCTAAAACAAATCAAATGTTAATTAAAAAAATAATTTCAAGTTATTAAATTTCTCTCCAAAATTTCTAAAACTACAGACTTATTTTAAGAAATGGAAAAAGGGAAATAACTCTTTATCAAAATTATTGACAGTGACATTATTCATCCAAAAAAAAATACAATTTTTTTAAGGGATAACTATTACTATTTAGTTATAATCATTCCCTTAAGAATTTGTTTTACAGAATCATAAATCTTTTAATAATCAATTTTATTAAGAAGTTCAATATTTTGGATAGGTGTTTACATCGAACTAATTAATTAATACCTCGAACGTCACCTGATCTTTCGTTCAAAGTGAAAAGAAAAGTTATTGACACTGCTTTTTTACAAGCTGTAATAAAATTATCTTTTAAGTGCAAATGATGTTGTAGAATTATAGAATATGCTCCAACAATGTTCTTGTATGACCCCGGGAAAACCGGAAACATAAAAGTTATAAACTAAAGAAAAAGAGACATCATCATAAAAGAGAAACTTTCATGCATGAAGGTTTTCGATTATGCACCACGCCAATATTCAGTTCAGTAATTTTAACGTTTGCTTGTGCCTTCGTTTAAAGAGGCGTCATAAAAAAAAAAAATCAGACACTTACTTTGGTAAAGCAGCTTTGCTGTTAAGTTATTTTTCTGCATTAATCGAAAAATTAATGAAAAAGAAAAATTGTATAAAACTTGTCAATATTGGCTTCCCTAAAAAAATGCAGAGTAGCAGCTCTGTCGGTTAAATAAATTTTTCCAAGATATTCGTTTTCCTAAAGATGATTTATTTGAAATTTTGTGATAATTTAACTGGAACTACTAACAAACGCTCACTTAGCTTATCATCTAAGTTAGAACAGTGTGTATCATCATCAGTTTGTTTTGAACACTGATGGTATCCTCCTTCTTCTGTCTCTGTACATATTGTTTGGAATCTTAGATCTATCCTTTTTAAAATGCCAAATGCTGCATCCCGCAAAAATGGAAAGCGTATAAAGAAATCTATACTTCTTACAAATATTTGACCAATGAATGTGTCATAAAAATGAAACGTACACGGTGAATTATCTATTGAAAGAATGAAAAATACTTAACTACAAAAAAAATCCAAAATCTAATATAAACTAGTCACCAGGTATTGCAAGGGAGATCACTCTAGTTGACTTACCTAAAATGAAATGCATAAAACGTAGAAGAGTTCCTCGGAAAAAAAAAAAAAAGAGAATCAACGACGTGAATAAAGCAAAAATCGGCAACATGGACGACATTCCAAGTGACGCCCCAACTCATTGTCCAGGAACTCAAAGTGAAGCTGCTGGTAAAGCATCTGCTTGCCAAGGATGTCCGAATCAAAATATCTGCGCCACTCAGCCCAAAGGACCGGATCCTGCAATTGAAGAAATTAGAGAGAGACTGTTATCGGTTCGTCACAAGATCGTTGTGCTCTCTGGTAAAGGTGGTGTTGGCAAGAGCACGTTTTCTGCGCATCTTGCTTATGGCTTAGCTGCGGCGAACGAAGATTGTCAAGTTGGACTTTTGGACACGGATATTTGTGGACCTTCTATACCCAGAATTATGGGTGCTGAAGGAGAACAGGTATTTATGACATCTGTTACTAATGTGATGATATCTGCAATATTTCTTTTTTAAGATATTTTTTAGTTACCTTTAATATTCGTTTTAAAAAGTAAACATGATGAAAAAAAATGTCCAAAACTTAAAAGCAACGTTTTATCGTCAAACTAAATACCAAAGGATTTTTTTGGATGTAAAAATTATTTTTGAAAATCTTTTTTAGAACGTTCAAAATTTCCTAAACATGAGGTTGTTGTTAAGTGTGTGTCAACATCCCATAAAAAGTAAAAAAAAAACAAAAAAAAACACCTGCTTCTGTGATATTTTAAACTAGAATATTTGTTTCAATTCAGGTAAACTTTAAATCCGCTAATTTTTTTCTTTCAGAAAATTATTTTATTTTTGAAAAAATTTTTTAATAAAGATAATTATTTTTTTTGAATTTTTTTTTTACTAATCATTTTCTTTAATTTAAAGAATTACACAATACAATATTGATTAATTTGCATAACTGATTTTAAAAATAAATAATACAGAATTCTTCACACATTTTTGGAATGTTTACTTGCAGTATTTGTTACTGTAAACAAAGTACACATTGTATCTTTATTGGTCACGGCCTTGTTTATAAACTTCCATAAAAAGTAAAAACCTTTGTGGTTATTTTATTTTTTTTTTATTCCAAAAATTTTCAAACTATTGTCCTTGTATTTGTGATTTATTAAAAATGGTTGGTATATTGAATATTCTTTTTGGCCTTAAAGTTCTGTTAAAGTGTATATTGGATCCGATGGTCTTTACTTTACTCCTGAGAAAAATACTTTTACTTTAAGTTTAGTTTCAGAAAATAAATTTTATGGAAATCTGAGTAGAATCCTTTAGTCAATTCAGAAAAATGTCAGATTTAATAGGCTGAATAGTGAGTCTGATCCTCACTGGGTGCACCATACTTTCAGCCTTGTGCTACATTTAAGCTATGCTTAGAAAATCACCACTAACATCTTTTATCTTAATTTACTAATTCTGTTTTGATGTATTGGTTCAGTTTCTTCAGTCATAAATGACCGGGAGGAATCCTCAAAGAGATAAGCTAATTTGTAGGGGACACATCTTCCGGACAGCACCTCCCCATTGCACAAACTTAGTAGGATCTTAAGTATGCTCTGATGCCTTTTGGCACAAGCCAATGTATGGGGTTGTGTAGTATGAAATGTTTATTTACAAGAAAAAACCCTACTCTCTCTCATTCACTATCCATCACTTCAAAAATTAATTTAGCATTACTTAAATAGACTGGTTCACGTTCACTCATTAAAAAAAAAATAATTGGGAAATAATTTTTGTTGATTAGTATTCTTTATATCTCATTTGTCAGAATTTAAAAATATGGATTTTTCTATTGAATTTAGAATGGGGTCCTGTTTATATCATCAAGCTTTAGATGAGAATGATGAAGCTTGGGTTGTTGCTTTTGACAGCTCAAGGCATTTGACAGGATTTGGCATATTGGTCTTCTTCACAAGTTGAAAGGTTATATTTCTGGCCAAATTTTTGAATTGATTCAGTCTTTCTTATTGAATCACAAAATGAAAGTTGTCTTGAATGACCACTCTTCTAGATCTTCAGTAACCGCTTGTGTCTTAATGGGTCTATTGCTTTGCTTGGGCTGAAATGATTAAAAAAAAAAAAAGCAAACAAAAACACTACAGTGTCATATTGACCTTAGCATACAAAAAAAAAAAACTTTTTGAGGTGGAGTTAGAAAAACATTTCTCTTAATGAACAAATGGTTACATAAATTAACAAATGGACAAAAATTACATATGATAAGATAATTATAAAAGCTCAAATGTTTGTGCATGTGCTCCAAATAACCACATACAAAATAAAAAGTTGGCTGGCTTTTATCTAGGGTAGGGCAGAAGTTTGGAGCCATACAGTTTAATGTGGATTAAATATCTAATGCATTTTATTTGTTTTTCTTTTCTTTTTTTTTTCAGTTTGTTATCCCATACTTAATCTATACTCATATTTAATTGTTGAAATTTTTGTTGCAGTTATTGGAAACAAAAGTAAAGGACAGAAATTTAATAGCTTAAAACAGAACAAAAACATAAAGATTAGACATGGCATTTAAACTAAAGAACTTCGGCAAAATGTCTTGGCCTTTTTTGCAGTCTCCAAGTTGAATATTCTTTCATGTTGAAAATTTGACTGTGGCATCCTGGAACAACAAATTTATGCTAGCTAAATTTTTTTTTTTTTTTAGTTCATTCATATAATATATAGTTAATTTTTTTTTTTATCATATAGTAAATCTAAAATTTCCTGTTTTTTTGGGCACCCTGTTGTCAAGAGAAAATACTTTGTCAATCATAGGCTAATTTTCTGATAAAAAAATGTTTTATTTAATTTCTTTGGTACATTCTTGTCATAAAGTTGGTAATAGTAAAGTCATTTTTCTTCTTTTTACCTTTCAGGTTCATCAAAGTGGTTCAGGTTGGTCTCCTGTCTATGTATCTGATAATCTGGCCATTATGTCAATTGGTTTTCTTCTATCCAGTTTAAGTGATGCTGTGATTTGGAGAGGTCCACGGAAGAATGGAATCATCAAACAATTCCTGAAGGATGTTGACTGGGGAGATTTGGATTACTTAATCATTGACACACCACCCGGGACATCAGATGAACACTTATCCATAGTACAGTATCTCAGTGCTGCTGAGATAGATGGAGCAATCATCATAACTACCCCTCAAGAAGTCTCCCTTCAGGATGTCCGCAAAGAAGTTGCATTCTGTCGAAAGGTGGATCTGCCAATTATTGGCATTGTAGAGAATATGAGTGGCTTTATATGTCCTCACTGTACAACAGAATCACAAATATTTCCTCCTACAACAGGAGGTGCTGAGAAAATGTGTTCCGATCTGTCTTTGCCATTTCTTGGTAAACTGCCTCTTGATCCGAGGATAGGGAAAGCGTGTGATGAAGGAAAATCATTCCTAGAAGAGGCTCCAGATAGTCCTGCTGCAAAAGTATTTCAGGCTATTATGGCTGTCATACAGAAAAGAACAGAGGAAGAAAAAATGAAAGAGGACTTTGTACAGAGATAACCATAATTTTTTTTTTTTGTCCTTTCTTTACAAGGAAAGCTGTTTTTCGTTTTTTTTAATCAATTTTCTGTTTAATTTCTTTTGATTAAAAAGTGAGAATAATAAATGTTTAATATAAATATTTTTAAATTCCTTCTTAAAAGTTATTATCACCTTGAGGTTGATGGTTAGAATACAGATAATGAATTCTCTCTTCAATAGATGGTCTTGGAGTGTAGCTTTGTACCATAGTTGGTAGGTACAGAAGATGCATATGATCTATGTAAGAGAGAAACAGTTTACATGTTTTCCTAGACTATAGCCTGTGCATTTACAAGCATAGATGGGTACTGATCATTTAAGCATTCCAAACAAATTTCTATCACTTTTTGTTAAAAGTGGGGGATATTTGGTAACAGTGATAAAAACAAAGAAAAAGAGACTGGATGAGATGTGCCCAGATAAATATCTAGAGGAGAAGGTTAAAATTTCAGCATTCCTTCTCCTTCAATCATGTGATCATATCTAGACATCACTTTGGTCCTGAGGGACAAGGCACGGGGATTTTTTTTCCCACTTTTTCATAGATTTTCCTATATATATATATATATATATATATATTATAAATATACATGTAATAAATCATTGCAAAGTAACAGTTTAATCCTGACCATAGCATTTTGGCAGCTTACAAAATTTAGCAGATTTCCTTAGTTCTTCCAAAATATATACTTCAATATTTTGAATAGACTTTGTGTAATCTGCTAGGTAGGAACATCAGAGGCTAAACTAATTTATCACCTTGTTCTGGCAACTTAATATTAGACTCATTTACTTTCAAAGACAGAGTTACAGGAATATCAATTTTATCAAGATTTACAGAGCTAAATCTTGCATGGATACTGTAGACTACTATTTGTCAGGGTAGCTAATACTGGCATACATGAGATTGGCTTCAAATCAGATCCACCAACAATTAATTCTTAATTATGTTGAACAAATCAGTGCAAGAACACAGGTCCTGCCGAAAGCAACCATAATGGCAAGCAGTTTCCATAAGTTGGATGTTTCTTAAAGCCAAAGAATCTTTCATGCATTAGTTGCTGTTGATAATAGGGATCACATTGAATGATGAACATCAGTTCTGAGTTTTGACATGTCAGGTTACCTAATACTGGCATACATGGGTTTGGGTTCAATAAGATCCACCAATGGTTCATCCTTATGTTGAACAAATCGACACAAGAATACAGATTCTGCTGAAAGCAACCATGATAAGGAGTTTCCATGAGTTAAACATTTCTTGAATCCAAAGAATCTTCCATTTAAAACAAGATGAATAAATTGTAATAAACAAAGCAACACTCAGCCTCTCCAACACTTTATTCATCTTGTAATTCAACAAAATGGAGGTTGGGTGCTAATATAAAGGTTTCAAAACTTCAACCTAGTATCAGAAATAAAGATTTCCATCACCAGCATTGTTAACTGCTTCACATTCCTTGGATAATGTTGTGTGCTATGTACTCCTGAATTATAGTAAAAAGCAGTTCTTGCAGTGAAGAGGTCCCAAGCATAAAATCATTTTAACTGCTCCCAAAGTGTTCTATCCAGCAATAGAGCTGGCCATTCAATTTCTTTTGGGGAAGTGTAGTAAAGAGGTCAGCATAATCATCATCATCCATTTAAGTGAAGTCTTGACTATGGTTAAGCCTGCCAAAAGGATGACAACGGGTGTTGTCAGTAATATCCAACAAGACTAGCCACTGATGATCCACATACCAATGACCATATTTTTCTTGTTGCTAGTTTCTTTACTAGAATATTATACTGCAACCTTCAGCTAGACCAAACTGCAACATAATTCCTACCTCAGCATCTCCATACTTGTTGATGACCATTGTTTTATAGTAATTCAACACTCACCAGTAAACAACATTGATAATTTTCTCTCATCTGGGTTTAGGCCTACTGCAGAAATGTTTCGCAATGCCAGTCTGTTAGACATCACATGAAGCCAGTTGTATAGTCTCTCAAATGTCTGGAGCTGGTTTTCAGTTGCATACCAATGACTGAATGTAGTGATTGGTCAGTAGCACCTAGATTACCCTTGCCAATTGATGTTTGGAAGCTAGTTGACTGATCAAAATTCATTGGTAACACCATTTGATTACTTCCTGTCTGAATGTGGTATTGTACCAGGTGGCATTGGTGTTCACTGAGCTTATGACACTAATGTGATGGCTTGAATCAGGACTAACATACTTCTAAAGATATCCTGCACTTTCTTTTATCAAAAGGCCTAACTGAAAACAACAGTCACTACTACTAACACTTATTTGCCAGTATAAAGTTATTACCTCTTGGAGGTCATTTTATTTCAAAGAAATTAAGTACTGTACTTTCCACCATGTATGAAAATTAGACTATTCATGAAACAAAAAAAAAAAACCCTTCCTCATCCCAATATTCCTAATTTATAGTGAGTAGTGCAAAAATCTATCAAGTCCAGTTGAAGAGAAATCTTATAAAACGTTACAAAAATTGGTTGATTGCTTATATTCACTAATGTGAAAATGATTAATTTTCTATGGCTTATCAACCCTTTGCAGGTTATTTCAAGTCAGAAAATATTTTTAGATTCTAAGATTTTTTTTTCTTAAGAAAATAATGGTTTTTTGATACAAGTCTAATACTAATCAACCCATAGCTGGGGGGAGAATAGATGAATTCATACCTTTCCCAAGGATATCTGCATGTAAGTTAATATAATGAACCCAACTGGAATTGAACTCTGCTCTCTGATTAAAAATTCCAAGCCATTATCCATTACACCACCCACGCATTCAAGCATACAGCAAGCAGAATTTACTGTTAATATAAAGCGTGTTCATACAGGACTGAAAAATGTTGATTGCTTTAGATAAGAAAATTGACAATAAAAGAGTAAAGCCATTTAAAAAAACAAAAAAAAAAAACAAAAAAAAAACTTTATTTTTTATTTTTTTTTTTATTAAATTTGAATTTTTTTTTTTCCTCAAAGAAAATAAAAATAAAAACAGATTTTCATCTGCCCAATGACAGACTGTAGGCTTAAATGAAATAAACTTGAAAAGTTGAAGTCTGCTCCCATAGAAAATGCTGTATTTAAATGACCATTTGAAATTGGTCAGTACAGAATCAGTCAGTTGTTCTGCAAGTCAGTCATTGGAAAGAGAATTGCCACAAGCAGATTAAATAGCATTTGCATTTTTTTTTGCCTCTGATTTGTGAAATTGTGATGCAAAAATGTAAAGTTAATCTTATTCAAGCTTTTAGAATTAAAAATGTTTGTTTTAGAAAAAGTTAAATTTTAAGTACAATTTATAAGCATGAAAAATGGTTCTGGAGTATTTCTGTTGATTTGTTCTAAAATTTATCAAAATCATTTCTATTTCTTTAAATCAGTGAATCGTGTTAATGCTCATTCTAGATTTCTGAAATATTTCCATAAAACGAATTTAAATCTGATTTATTAAGAGTAAAATAAAGTATATTGAAATGTTTTGCAATAAATGGAATACAAAATGCTACCTCCACATTTGTTAACTCAAAAAGTGTTCAGCCAGCACCCATCTTATTGCAAGAGAAGTGACTATATAGCCAGCAACTACTTGTGTGCAGTTAGTGGGAACAAAGAACAATGGTTGCGTCCCCTGAAAGTAATCACAAACCCAACATTTCTTTAGCAGCAGCACAAGCCTCTTCTGCTTCTACATATTCTTTGGCTTCTTTCAAATCTTCTTCAGCTTTCTGTAAAGAAAAAAAAAAACAATTGTTAGGTAGAGGCTTGCTGGCTCTGTTTGAATAATTTGCCAAAGATAGGTCAGGTGCACATAAACAATTTGCCTTTAATGTAGATGTTTAGTACATGCTTTGTCATCACTTAGAACAAAGATTTGAAAGTTTCCTTGGAGTCAACATCAATGAATATGTTGTGACCAATGTTTTTTTTTTTTTAGATAGTTAAATGCAAAACTTCTTTATATATATATATATATATATATATATATATATATAGCGACCATAGGTCATCAATGTTTGTCAGGCTCATTACAATCTTTAACAAAATATACGATACTATTGATATAATTTAGATACTAAAATAAACGATTCCTTTACTCTAAAATATATAATTTTAACAAATCTCTAGCCAGGTGTCTTTTTTTTTTTTTTTTTAAATAGTGTGCATATGTATCTGAATTTTCAGCTTAATTTATTGTACTTTTTTGGGGTCAGTAATCATGGCTGCTGACTGACATCATTCCCTCAACACTTCCAGTCGCATTCTTCACCCCCCCTCCATCCCTTGAGTTGACACTTTAATTTTCGCCGACTTGAGGTCAGACTAAATTTAATTTGCCTTATTCCAATTGATACATTGTGCTAAAAGACCTTATACTGTACATAATAAATTATTTAAAATGTACATTTCAAAGCCATAAGTTGAAACTAAAAAAGAAAAAAAAAAAAGAAAGTGTTCTTTGAAAAACAGGTCATACAAGTCAGAGATTTTTAAAAGATTATTTATAGAAATACATTGTCTATTATAATTTTCTCCTAAGTAGGGCTAAGACCTACACAACCCAACTGGCTTAAATTTCATTTTTACTTTCTATCTTTATTATGAACAATATCAATGAAATTTATTTCATTCAGTCAATATTTTGAATTTTAGATCTAGCTGAGGTCAAGAATGAAAATGACGCACTGTGAAAGATTTTTGTTGCTTTGAAATAGATAGCCTTGAATGTTGACTCACTTGGGTTGAGGCTGACAAGCCAGATCACCAGAGTTGCCACTGAGATATATATATATATATATATATATATATATATATATATATATATATATATATATATATATAAGTGTTACAGTTTTCTTCATCTAATTTTTTCATGTTTTTCCATGCAGGCTTAGTATTAGTAGGGTTCTGTTTTGACACTTTACCAATAGCTTGGTTTATTTTGGATGCACAAGTG